GAATCGCGAGTTGAAATGCCACTTCCAGCTTCCTCTCCAAAATGGTTACTGAATTTGTGGGATGATCTTGATGTGTTCTTAATGATCCGTCAGATATTTCTAATGACCTTAATATCTAATCTGTTCTCCTACTTCTTTTACAGAAAATATTTACTTAAGATTTCACATGAAGCATTAAAAAAAAAGTTGATAGACTTATGCTAAAGTTAATCAAGAGCACTCCGATGACTTTGCTTATTACCTTAGAGTGACCCAGCAGTACGTTTTTCTCTTTACTTGTCTCAAGACTACTTGCTAATTAGTAAGGGAAACGAATCGCTCGCTTCCTTCACTCATTCAGGTTTGCATGAACCAGTACCATCAAGAAGACTAGGCCTGCGAATGACGTCATTGTTAGTAGACCCCCCCCCCCAAGCGGCAAACACGCCGAGGATCTACGAGAGTGGACCGCAAAGCGGGAGACGCCTCTGGCTTGTCCACGTTTTTTGTCTGGAAATTTAGGGTCTTTAAACGCACGAAGAAGCCAAGTTAGAGCCAAACTTGACCCTCTTTGGCCAGATACTGGGTCCCATATCCCTATTGCGCCAAACAAGAGCCATAGTTAGGCATCTATGCTGGTATCTTGACTGTCATCTGGCATCTTTGGGCCTAAAGCGCCAAATAACTATCAGAGCTATGCTACACAACTGGTTGCCTTTTCTGTGGCAACTTTGGGTCTAAATTGCCAAACAAGCGCATGATTTGGAGTTCACTGCACGTTTTTTCGCCTCATGCGCAGCATATTGGCTTCAAGTCTGTCACTTTGGCAATCATGTGGCGGGCCAGAGAATAGCCATAGAAAAGCAAAAGAAGAGTATCCTGGCACTAACTCATTGGAACCAAAACTGCATTAGGTCTAAGTTAATCCCCTAGGATTGTTCAGCTTGTTAGGTCCCTAGGATTGCCAAGGTTTGGGCTTAAATTGACAGACGAGTGCCATAATTATGCCATTTGCACTCTATATAATTGACACCACTGTCCTGCATAAACACTGGATTACCTGTCTTTATATATGTTAAATTGTTCATTCAGTCATATGTTATTTTTCTTCTGTGGATGTAAAAGGGAGGCGGGGGCTTCGTCAAGTAGCGACATGCCGCTTTTTTCCCCTGCCTTCCCCTCTCAGATGGAGAGGAAGTAAAAATTAATTGAAATTGAAAAAAAAAAAATTATACTTCATTGCTGGTTCTTGAGTTCATACGTGGAATCTTTGCTCGAGTCTGGCACCATGGTACTTATGTGACGACACAAAGAAACGCCATAGAAAAGCCCAAGAAAAGTACCCTGGCACTAACGCCTTGTAAGAAAACCGTATCCGGCCCAAGTTAGGCCACCTAGGAATGCCAATTGCTTGCGTCAAGTCAGGCATTTCTCCGGCGTGCTATTTGGGACGATGCTCTCCCTTCCAGAGCAGTGCACAGTTCCTAGACTCGCTTCTACGTGCATCATGGCGAACGAAAAACCACATACGTTGTAAAAGATAAAAGTTAAAGTCGTGTAAGATCTACTTACTCTTCGCACTCGTTGCGCAGACTTTCTTGCAGTAGTAATGGATTGAGAGGAGTCTTCACGCTGAAACTGTTCAGCTGACTCTCTCGAGATTGAGTAGAACGAGGCATCGCCGCAATATCGCAGTGATATTTCCAGGAGGTTCTGAATGATGTATGTGACGAGCTCTGCACTCTTAGAAAAAAGTTAATAAAAGGATAGTAACTGTAGCAGGTATTTCTTCTATAGGTTCGTCCCTACCTTTTGACTTGCTCCTCCACCTCAAATACACGCACGGGCAGTAAATGCGAAAACCAAGAAATTCGAGATAATAATAACTGCAACATTCTGTGGCTATGCAGTCAAACCATAACTGGTTGGATGGGCGCTCTTGGACTGTGAACGCCGATCGAAGCTGTGCAAAGCGAAAACATGGACTCTGAAGCGTAGAGGACCAGGTAGTTATATCGACCGCCGCAAATATTTACAGGGTGAATGTTTTAAGGATTCATTCCTTGGACTATTCAAAATAAACTTTGAGGAATGTCATTAGTGACAAAAGGCAACATTCGTGTAAAATCAGTTATTGTTGTTATGATCATTGTAGAAAGGCGTGCTTTCAAAAAGGCGGCTGTAAAAAGTGAGCGATGCATGTACGAAGCCATGAATGGTGTAGCGTGCGTTCATATTTGTGTTTCCGTGTTCTCCGTTTGTGTATATGATCCCCCATGGGTGTATAATATAAAGTGTAGGAGATCCATTCCTGAGCGCGCGAGCCTTGCAAACATTTTTGTGGCCTTTGTATTAAGGAAATAGATAGTGTCACCTGCTTTCAAGAGCTAAGTGGCAACTAGATTTTTTCGCGGTAGTTAGCAACTGTTTCTCAATAAATGTAGTGGCACCGTTTAGTGGATGAAGTTAGTTCCCAATCTAACTACCTTGGTTGGTAACTGTTAAAAGCACGCCCGTTACTAACGGCAACTACTAAGGGGTCAGTAACTTGTTTGAGAAGCAGTTGCTAACCTAAAGTTACTAAGTACTACGACCTTTTTTCTAACAGTGCAATACGAGCATTCAAGATGACCAGATGTCACTTCATTGATGGCTTTGTCTTTATTCGAAACTAAATACTAACGTGGATATGAATACGAAACAAGGGATAGAGTGTTTGCTAGAATTGAACGCCACCGGCATTTATTTTTAATTGAAACTGTCGAGCTCTTGCGCGTGCTGCCGAACGCATTGACAGCCGGTGCCGTGGCAGGTGACATAAGTGCGAAGGAATTCAGCAAGAACGTGCGCTTCCTTCGCCGTTCCCAAACTACATCCCCGCCTCTGTCTAGCACCTTGTTTATTATCCTATATATATATATATATATATCCATTAGGCATATGCAAGATATCATACACATACGGGTATGGCTTCGTGGCTCTCTGTAATGACCTAACTTCGCAGAGCTCAATAAAGATACCAATATCAGTACTAATACCAATAGAGCTCGCTAAACTCCGGGTGTGTTTAAACTAAGCACAAATTCCTGTATTAGGCTGTGGAACTGCGTGCGTGTAAAAATAAATAGTGTTTTACTTGTGTATTTCTTCCTTGTAAGATCTTTTACCTTATTGTAGTGACGGGGCGAATTCGAGTTTCAAGACTCCTAATAAGCGTTCATAACAAAACCGTGACGTTCTGCGCTGATCGTTTGTTAGATACTCTTCAAGTGAAGGGAATGGCAAATAAGCATGTGTTAAAAACCCCATTATCCAAAAGTCGAGTTTCGAGACGTTCTCTTCCCGTTGCTTTGTCTTTCGACTTGATTTTTTTTTTTAATTCTTCTGCACCACAGTCACAGGTGTAATATTATGATTATTCCCCATTGTGGGCTGTTATACGTGCGAACATTTCAGGAATTTTATTGGGTGAATGCCAGTCTGCAAGCGAAGAATCAAGGTGGCGTAATTGTCGTTTCGAGGGCAGTTTTCCCCACTATGGTCACTGACTGCTTAAGAAACTAGAGCTGGACAACCGCTCAGATTGCTGCATTAGCCAATAAGAATGATTAAGAGCCAATCCCGAAGCAAGAAGTCACCCTTTGCAATTTTTAAGCTCTTGGTGACAATAGAGCCATTTATAGTTTACAAAACATAAGGTGTGGCAATTCTCGAGCATCTAATTATTATCGCCCTGCAGCAACTGAGAGTGTGACCTCATGGCACGTTTACACTTGCGGATTCGCTTGCGGATCCGACTGGCCGCGAGCGGATTTTGGAGCCGACTTTCCACCAGCGACGGGTGAATTTCGCCACCCGGCCGGCCCCCAAATCCGCTGGCCGCCGGCGTGGGTCCGCCCGCATATTCGCAATTGTCAGCGCAACATTAGTGAAATAATGCAAAAAGTTTGAGGACACACAATCACTTATGAGTTGTTTCTGAGTATGTACTTATACTTTACTTCAAGTATTGTTTTCGTGTACATTCTGAGGAATGTTCCACTCGCTATTTCAAAGTACATTCCCAAAATTTGGTCTTCTTATTTGTAAGATTTGTATCACTTGTTATTTGCAAGATTTGTATCACAAAATATGCATTGTCAATTTTGAATCCTCTTGACATTATCCGATATGGGCCGCCATTCTTGAACAAAAAAACAAACTGATGCACCCCCGATTACCCATAAGGCAATGCGTACAAATAAAAAAAACACTGTATAGGGGAACGAAAGGGCATTGTAGAATATTGTGTCAAAAAGTTATTGTGCTTTACTTTGAAAGCACATTGTATTTAGAGTACTTTACTTCAAGTAAGTTGGACCCGGTGTACTTACTACTTTACTTGAAGTACATAACCTCTAATTTAATTTGTACTTTAGTTCAAGTAAACGATAGTAATCCCTGGAGAAGGGGATTAAGGTAGACAAAGGACGAACACGAATTTCCAAACACAGCTAAGTGACTTGTGCGCAACCGAAAACATCCGCCTGGTCCTGGTATCGAACCAGGGACCTCTTCATTTTCAGTAAGGGCTCTACCAACTGGGCTAACCAGGGGTTAGACGTGAGTAGAGCAAACGGGTTTTATCAGCTTCCACCAGTCTAACACAAACAAGGGTGAACGGCCTGCATTTTAACGTTATGATGACAATGCAACACCCTTGTTGGTGTTAGACTGGTGGCTGCTGATAAAACCTGTTCGCTGTGCTGATGTCTAGCTCCTGATTAGCTCAGTTGGTAGAGCTCTCCACTGGAAATGGAGAGGTCTCTGGGTCGATGCCAGGAGCGGGTGGGTTTTTTTCTGTAGCGCACTAGGCACCTAGCTGTGTTTGTAGATTTCTGTTTGTCCTTTGTCCCCGTTGTTGCCCTTCTACCGGGATTATTATCATTTATTCTTTCCAGCTCGCCTGCACCTCTGTATTAATTACTTCAAGTACTTTTTTATGCAGTTTACCGAACACTAAGAGAATACAAACATGGAAATGACGTAAACCTCAAGCGTGCTATACAAAGAGCTTGTATAGATTTCTTTTTATTTCTGCGAAAAAGAACGTAGCAACACCGTCGGAAATATGAACACAAGAATTGTACAAATCAGTGCTGCCACGCGAGCGTAGGAAAGCTATGTACAGTCAAAAAATCAGGCTTGTTCTCAACGTCTCCAAACAAAAGCGGTCACCAGCGTAAAGTACTCGAGGCCGTTTTTATATGGCTGCTCAGCGCCTTTCCAAACAATGCCTTCACTTCACAATATTTGGTACATCTCAAATTCATAAATGTATACATATATACATACACCAACTCGTGTTTCTGACGCCACGCGAAGAGGGCTTCCGGCGCATGCGCCGTGGCCACGGTTCGCGACGGCAAGCGCGCTTGTTCACAATCGTCGAGATGGTTCATAGGAACATGCCAAGATGATGAGGCGGTGAACCAATCAAGAGCCACGCACAGCGTGACGTCACGTGGCCATCTCGGCCAGGGTACTGTTCAGCACTTGACTGCTGGCGTTGAGGGCGGCCGAACTACCCAATCCGAAATCTCTGGCTGCCCACGCGGGGAAGGTGTGGAGGTCGAAGACGAGCGGGCCGATGGCGTGCACCGTCGCCAAGTGCACCAGCACGCAGCAGACGTTCATGACGAAGCCCATCTTCATCTGAAGAGCAGAGGTAAAAAGCGGTCGGTTGGACACAGGTCTGAAGACCCCTTCACACAACTACGTTTGCTTAGGGTCGAGTGCTTGCTATCCTTTACGGCGAGAGTATACACCGGCACACTGGCGCCATCTATGCCACCAAGTGACCGATCGCTGTAGACTTTTAAACACGACCCTATACTTCGTTTAAGCTTACGTCGAGACGCAGCCAACACTACGAACTTATGGGACTAATGAAGCAGCGTCCGAAACGCAAGTCACTGGCCTTTTATGTTTATGACTGGTTCCACAATAATAGAACACGCACAAAAACATGACGAACACCATGATGGCGCGCTTTCAATACGCTGTCTCTATCAGCTCGTAGCGTCGCCAACGTCTGGACTTCAGGCGAAATAAATATAGTGACACTAAGCGCTTCCTTGATCCGTCCACATCAAATGCAGTGATCCAAACTTTTAAACAACTTGTAATCTTCAGAAGTCACTGCTCTCCGAGCGAGTCAAGCCAAGCCAAGACAATCAGGCACTGATCCAAGTGGATTCTGGCCTCTGGACACGGAGTGGTGGTCTTGCCAGAGTGCACTTTCGATTAACTGTGTATTTCCATTTTCTGTATTTTTCTTTGTTTATCTACTTTCGCGGGCTAGCCGTGTCAATCTAATGGTAGACCCTGCTAGCTTATAAATGCTGTTCTTTTAAATCGCGCATGTGACGCTTCCTGGGGAGCTACCGGCCTGTTCCAAAAGGGGTTTGGTTCAATTGAATACTGCAGACTGAAAACTATTTCAAGAGAGCGAAGGTTTCACAATATTTGCGAGATCACATGTGCGCACTACCACAAATGATCGTTTATAAATATGTCACTTGTCTTTCGAGCCAAGCAAGAAGAACTAAACGCGAAAATAATAGAAAATCCGCTGAAACGGCAAGGTTCCACGGCTACCTGATAGATAGCGCTAGTGTGTTCTCTCGTCGTGAGATATTTTAAGATGTACAATATACAATGCAAAACACATCTCTATTTACCTTAATTGAAAAAAAATACAATATGAACCCACATAAGACAATAATAAAGCCAACCTTGGGACAAGAATATTCAACACGATGAAATTAGATTTTACCTAATCATTAGGATGGACTTTGGGTTTAAGAAATGGTTATTTTACAAGGGCCTAGGACGTTGATATGCATCGCAATAAACGAGAGCTCGGTTTTAAAGTCATAGCCTGGATTAAACAATTCACCTCCATTCAAGGGGTAGACCTTGTCACAAATCAGGCGTTGAAGACAACATTAAAATAATATTTATATAGTCAGTGATTACTTTTATAAAAAAAAAGCAATATTTTTTTGTTTTGCAAAGATGCTCATTCTGGCATGAAATGTGTGACTACTTACCATGTCAACGGTTCGTAACCGCCCCATGTCGCAAAGTATGGCGTTGGCGCCCGTTGCGATGGGCAGCATGAAGGCAAACAAACAGGAGGCCTTCACTGGCATCAGGAAGTACAGAGGATGTACCCTCATGGCAACGGCCTGGAAGAGACAAAGAGATGGCAGCTCACAAATACAGGAAACTCTCGATTCGACCCTTAAATAGAAAACCGGGATATATCAGATGAGAGTTTAGATTTTGTTTATATCAGTGTGCAGTTGTGTTCAGACAGATCAATTATGGGTACACGGAGTTGGTTCTTGCCACAGCATCTCATTTGCCAAGTCAATATTATGAGCAGCGGAACGTGACAAGGTAGTCACGTTCCCATTAGGCGTACCGGTCAAGGTGTTTGGAAAAGATCACCATAATTTCCAGAATAACTCTCAAGAACAATCTGAGTGTTTTCCTGTATGGGCAAACAAATGCAACTCGACGCTGACACGATAAGTTCCCATGCAAATTCCTTAACCCACGATTGATCATGTATGTTTTTACAAATATAGAATTAAGCACTCTCTAACAGTTTCAATTCAGCGTATTTAAGAAATTCCATAGTACACTGTGCCCTAATTTCATCCAACTTTTTATTAAAGCATAAACAGTTTGCAGTAGAAAAAAAAATTAACAGCGCTGCGTACAAGTAGCTTTACTGTATTATTCATAAAATGTAAAAAAAGTGATATTTATGTTGCTGAATTTTTTATGGGTTATCTGGCTTTTTTGTGTGAGCTAATTACAGAACTGTCAGAAAGTAGGGAACTAAATATAAAACGTAAAGTTATCGGAAGGTCTAATTTATTGACCGTAACAAATAACTCAGGGGCGTGCATTTTTTTTGCAGAAACTTTTGGTTTTATTTTAGCTTCAATTTTGACACAAGCAATTCATAAATGTAATATAATAATATAAAATGCATGACAGCCGGGGAACGCGGGTGTCATAAACGAAACGCAGCACTGCTGCCTGCGACACGGATTTGACAAAAAAAAATTCAAGAGAGAACTTCTGCAGCTTTAAAGTATCGACACAAATCTGATGAAAGCAAAAATTATATTGATAAATATCCCAGTGATCAAATGCGTAAACCACTAATCATGCAAACATATTAATCATGGTACAATTTAGCACAAAAATAGTCAACAGCAAAAAAGTTTTTTTTTTCTTTGTTTCTTTTTTTTTTGTAGTGGCGCGCAATTTATAAGTTTGATCGACGGATACTGAACAGAGCACGGAAAAAACTAGTAACGGAAGTTGAAATTTCAATGTACCCATTTTTGTTGATGCGTCCCTTGGGCTTAATAAAGTTTCGGTCTGCGTAAATTGCATTCTTGAGCGGGGACGTCATATCTGACCTTTAAGTTTCCAATCGTTGATCTCAATGACCCCGTGGTCCGTGAGAAAAAAAACACGCAAGATGCGTCCACAAGCAGCACTTCGGTTCCCGGAGCAAACAGTAGGGGTCTGGCAAAAGTCGTTTTGAAGCGAAAAGTCCTGCATCACGCACAGCCTTCACAGAGAAGGGAACGTCACGCTATATTGAATTTCGTTAGTGTTTAAACTAGGAACGTCAATGCGCTGCACTCTAAAGCATTTAGCGCGTCCACTTTCCCAAGTGTTTCGCAGGAAAGTGGAGCTACCAGATTTTTTAGCAAATATTTCATTCGTATAGATATTCGTACACCCCTAGAAAAAATATCAATACTTGGGACGAAGAATCATTGTGGTCTCTGCTGCAAATCTGTTATTTTTGCGATTAATTTCTAACTATGTAGATTTTGACATTAGTAATCCTGTCGTCACTCTTTAGTGTCTGCGCTATAAAGTACAGAATGGTGTCCGAAAAAATCAAACGTCGATTATTTTACACAGAAAATGAACTACTGTTGCTGGACGCTCAAACTAAAAACGTTTTGTTATTAAAAAAAAGTTTGAAGCCCTTTTATATAAATATAAAACAATATATATATATATGTATATATATATATACACAACGGGCGTGGTGGCGGGGGGCCGAAGGCGTGGGTAAAGAAGAAACCCTTAGTGGACAACAGCAACAACGGACGATTTAATCTTCGACGTTTCTTTGACTTATTAACTTTCCCCGGTCCATTGGTTTTATGTTTACCTTAGTTCATACACACACACACACACATATATATATATATATATGTGTATAAACATAAACTGGCAGTCAGTAGGGGACGGGAATTTATGGAATCAAACAGCGTCTGCAGGTGACCAAACGGACGCCGTTGTATTTACCGAATCGGATAATTTCAAGTCAAAATATTGGCAGCTTTTCCCAACCGTAAAGTACAAGTACATTCTCGGACAGTGTACTTTGAGTAAAGTACAAGTATTCCAAACCTACTTGAAGTAGCACTTTGAGTACAACGCACTTAAAGTACTTCCCAACACTGTATATTCGGGTTAAAAACAACGTAGGGCGTGGTTTACTATGCTCAAATTTGACGCAATCTTACACGTTTTTCTTGTTTCTTTTTTTTTTTTGGCGCCGCAGTGCGACGGGTGCGGAGGGACACAAATATGCTCGGGACTCATCACACCCTTCTCGGCTTAACCTGCTTGAGGCTCGAGATAATCACAAGGCCTGAAATGCGTTTTATACTCCGTTTTAGTTCGAGTCCCACCTCAGCCGACGCTAGGGATCAATGGAATCAGCCATCAAGATGCGTTAAAACTGAATTGCCATGGCGCTCTTTTTTTTTTTTTTTTTTTTGCATTTACTATCCCTGACAAAATTTGCCACGCGCAGGAAACGTCAAACGACCCTTCGCTTTTTTTTCTTTTCTTTTTTTTTTGTGCACGATTAGCTTAGTTGGTAATAGCAAACCCACAAAGACGACGAGGGCCGCGTTGATATACTTTCGGCGATGCTCAATTGACTGCATTGTTTTATAGCGTCGGCTGCGGTCAGCCCTAGAGTGAAACGGAGTATAACTTCCAAACGACATCTGCGCAGGGACGAGAAGCCCAATGCTTAGCTCCATCATTTATCTACGCGTAGACGCCGCATTCTTGGTATAATGCGACGACTTTTAACCCTTTCGACTCAACTCACCAGCTCGCTGATGATCGGCGTAAGGATTCCGGTGACGACGTAGGTGCTCACGATCTCCGTTAGAAAGCAGCCGCAAAAGCAGAGGAGCACCAGGACCAGGCCGGGCGGCAGGTCTCGAAGGCCGTGCAAGGTCTGGATCACGATGGTCGAGAGTCCGGAGCGCTGGAAGTAACCGGCGGTAAACATGAGCCAATTGCACGCAGCCCCTCCTCCTGAATCTGTTGGTATATAGAGCTATGCACTGCAGGAACCTTCACAAGTGTCACAGATTTAAAGAGGAGCTTGGGCTTAGACCCTTTAGAGATTCGGCGGAAAATTGCTCGTTTATGTTTTTTGTCATCAAATATACTACACCAGATCATTATCGAAACATTTCTTTACTAAGTGGCACGGTTCATATCAGCTAGACTTGATCACTCTTTCAAAATTGAACCCATTAATGCACGTACTAACCTGTTCATGTTTTCACCACTCCCTTTAGCTATAAAGGAATGGAGTAGTCTCCCCAGCGATGTTGTTGTTTTATCTGACCCGATTTTGTTTAAACAGAGTTGCGAAGAGTTGTTTTGCTTATCTGCTATTCCATGACGGTTTTTGTATTATTGTCAACTTCAATGTTTGCACTGTTTGGGTTCCACAACGTGTGTGCAATTCATTGCACGTTTTCCTCTTTTGTACACTTTGGCGTTTTTGTTGTCGCCAGGGTAAATAACCTTGTGTTTATCGAAGTTTTTTTTTTATATATGTATAAGTCACGACTTCTCCCGCATTCTTGTCATTCCCCCCTCATGTAATGCATCAATAGAGGCTTTTGAGTTCAATAAATGAAAATAAAAACTGTGTGCAGTTGGCGGAAGATCCTACACTCTAAAAAAACGTCTTTGAGTTAATTTTCCCGTAAAAAAGTGAAAGCCGTTTACAAATCCCTGTAACGCCGAATTGGAGCGCAGCTCTTGAGGAGGAGAAGTGAAGGGTACTGAGGGGAGGGTAGACCCCTCCCCCTTCTCCTCCTCCTCCCCTCATTCTTTAATATGCTCCGGGGGGGGTGTCACGTGACTTCGGGGAGGGGGTCACGTGACCTCGGGGAGGCGTGACCTGGGGGTGACCTCAAGGCCACGTGACCCCAAAGGTGACCCCCACGTGACCTTGGGGGTCACGTGACCTGGAGGGGTCACGTGACTTCGGGGGGTCACGTGACCTCAGAGGGGTCACGTGACCTGGGGGTCACGTGGGGTCACGTGACCTTGAGATGACCTTGGAAGGGGTCACGTGACCTTGGGAAGGCGACCACGTGACCTCGGGGGTCACGTGACCTCAGAGGGGTCACGTGACTTGGGGGTCACGTGACCTTCAAAGGGTCACGTGGGGTCATGTTGGGGTCACGTGACCTTGATATGACCTTGGAAGGGGTCACGTGACCTCGAGGGGTCACGTGACCATCAGGGGGTCACGTGGGGTCACGTGACCCCCTGAAGAGATGACCTTGGTTACGTTAGGGGTCACGTGACCTTGGGGGTCACGTGACCTTGGAATGACCTTGGTTACGCCGACGCCGACGGCGACGCCAACGGCGACGCCGACGGCGACGCCGCTCAAGCCGGGAACGGGCCCCTAAGAGCTGCGCTCTAAAACGAACGTAGCCATTCACGGTGAACTTTGGAAGGATCCTTGTAAATGACGAAGCTCAAAATATGAGTATACCTGTGTTACAATATGTTATAGTTTCGTTTTGTCTTTGGTTTCGAGGTGCTGTCATCATCATGGGCAGACAATAAACATGGCGGTTTAATAAGCGTGCAGCCTCGTGGGTCTCCTATAAAAAAGACGCACAAAACATGGAGTCAGAAGCGGCAAGAAAGTGCGAATCGACTCGCAAACAAGTGAGAAGAACCGTTGAGGCGACGAACAAACTCCGTGAGACCGCAAGTGCGCCGCGAGCGAACGACCGCGACGACGTGACGACGTTGCCTGACCGAGGCAATGGCGAGCAACACGGCGATCGAGCCACCAGAGAATATGTGCCTCACCGGAGACCTTCGTGTTAACTGGAAGTCCTTCAAGCAACACTTCGAACTGTACGTGACAACGACAGGTCAAAAGAACAAGTCACACGAACAAAAAGTTGCACTGCTGCTGACTCTAGCGGGATCAGGCGTCATCGACGTGTACAACAGGTTGGACTTCGGCGAGCCGACAGCGACCGTTCCAGAACCGGGAAAAGTGCTTAGCGTTGTGGAGAAGTTTGACAACTACTTCGCGCCCAGAAGAAACGAAGTGTACGCCCGATACCTACTGCGATGCCGGAAGCAAGAGCCGGGTGAAGCCTTCGATGCGTTCCCCACCGATCTCAAGGCGAAGGCGAAAAACTGCAACTATGAAGGGCAGCGAGACAAGGTAATCCGCGACCAAGTCATTTTTGGGATCAAAAATGAAACCGCTGAAACTGGAGGACCCAAAACTCGAGACTGTCGCAAAGATATGCCTCGTGCACGAAACGTCGGCGAATCAGCTCAAGGCATTCAGGCAGGATCCCAGCAAGAGACAGACCCTTTGCACGCCATGAAAACAACCAAACCCAAGCAGCACGCTGTGAAGCCATCACCAACCAAAACGTCCAGGTACTGTGGAAAGGCTCACGTTTTCAACAAAACTGCATGTCCTGCATGGGGTAAAGAATGTAGCAAGTTCAGAAAAAAAATCACTTTGCTAAGCAATGCAAGTCGAGAGACAGCGTCCGAGCGATACAAGAGAGCGACTCAAGCTCTGAGGAAGTCCTCTCTCTGCAGAAGAAGAAGGACGACATCTTTGTTGTGCTTGAGATGAGAGACAACGGTGCAAACATCAGATTCCAGGTCGACAGTGGAGCATCTGTGAATGTGATTCCTGAAAAGTTTGTGCGAAACAAGAGGCTTGAAGAAGCACCCTCGCACCTGAAGATGTACAACGGAACAACCATTGTTCCAAAGAGCAAGTGCAGACTCCATCTAAAAAATCCACCGACACAGAAGAAGCACTCAATTGAGTTTGTCGTCGTGGACAAGCACTTTGCACCTCTGCTGGGAAGAGAAACCTCTGAAAAAATGCAACTGATAAGTATCAACTACGACCTTGTCCCGACTGTCCAGAACAAGACAGTGTCACAGCATAAATTACTGATTAGGAAGTACCCAGATATCTTTGGAGACGAACAAGGTTGCTTTCCTGGTCAAGTGCACCTGAAAGTCGAACCGTCGGTTGAACCTCAGACATCGACTGCCTGCAGAGTACCAGTGAGCATTAAACCGAAGCTACAGAGGCTGCTTATTGAACTAACGGCAAAGAAAATCATCGCCAAGGTTGATAAACCTTCACAGTGGGTCAGTCGCATGGTTGTTGCCACCAAGAAAGACGGTGAGCGGCGGATTCGCATCGATCCCCTAGCATTCAACCAAGCTCTCAAGAGGGAGCGACACCCGTTGCCAATCCTGGAGGATGTGTTGACAGAACTAACAGAAGCTAGAGTATTCTCCAAGCTTGACCGGCTCAACGGATACTGGCACTGTATGCTTGACCCGGAGTCTAGCCTGCTCACGACATTTCAGACGCCCTTCGGACGGCACAAGTGGCTTCGTCTACCCTTTGGTTTAAAAGCTAGCAATGAAATCTTTCAAAAGCGGCTGCAGACTGCGTTGGACGGCCTCAAAGGTGTCACCTGCGTGGCCGAGGACATCATAGTGTATGGAAAGGGCCCCAACAAAGACGTTGCACAGAAGAACCACGACAAGAACCTTCACAGTTTTATGTAGAGATGTCGTGAACAAGGCATTCGCATTAACAAGCCCAAGCTTGAACTGAACGCTGAAGAGATTACTTTCATGGGTCACAAGCTAACATCACGTGGATTGGAGATCGATCCCAAGAAGGTCAAAGCCATTGTCAACATGGATGCACCTTCAGACGTGGGTGGAGTCCAGCGGTTTTGTGGAATGGTTAACTATCTTGCAAGGTTTGTGCCATGTATGTCCGACATCATGGAACCACTCAGGAGACTGACAGCTAAGAATGCAGAGTGGGCGTGGACTGCTGAGCAGGACAGAGCATTTAACAAAGTGAAAGAACTGCTGTCCTCACCACCGGTCCTCGAGATCTATGACCCACACAAGGAACTCTCAATAGAGTGCGATGCAAGCGAGAGAGGCTTGGGAGCTGTTCTGCTGAAAGAGGGCTCTCCAATCTGCTATGCCAGCCGAGCTCTGACGGCAACTGAGACTAGATATGCTCAGATAGAGAGATGTTGGCCATCTGCTTTGCTCTAAACAAGTTCCACCAGTATACCTTTGGCAGACATACCACTGTGATCTCCGACCACAAGCCACTGCAGAGCATCGCAAAGAAAGCCCTGGACAAGGTACCTAAGCGGCTACAAAGCATGTTGCTGCAAGTGCAGAGATACGACTTCATGGTCAAGTTCTGCCAAGGAAAACAATTGGTTGTGGCAAATACGATGTCAAGAGCCTACTTGAAAGACACAGGTTGGGACTCACCTGCAGAGGAAGTCAATGTTGTCTGTTGTCGGCGCATAAAGCCTAAAACGCTTGAGACAATCAAGGAACAATCCCGAAGTGACCAACTGCTGCAAAACCTGGCACGATTAATTATGAAAGGATGACCAAGAGAGAAGTCGAGTCTTCCGGAAGGAACCACTGCATACTTCAACTTTCGTGATGAACTTGCAGTTGAGGTTGGTGTGGTCTATAAGGGACAGAGAGCAGTCATACCTCTGAGTACGCGTGCTGACATAAAGCGAACCCTCCATGCGTCGCACCTGGGGATAGAGAGCTGCCTTCGAAGGGCAAGGGAGTATGTCTTTTGGCCCGGAATGAATGCTGAAATCAAAGATTTCATTCTGTCCTGTGAGGTGTGCCAGAGGTACAGCCACGCGCAACCGAAGGAACCTTTGATGCCTCAACCGCAGCCAGCGCATCCATGGGAGAGAGCCGGTACCGACGTTCAGCAACTTCTGGGAGGTGTATGAACTGACTTCAACCACAGCTTCTGCAGTCATCAGGAAACTCACGGCACACTTTGCCAGGTATGGCATACCTGCAGTGCTCATCAGCGACAACAGTCCTCAGTTTGCCAGTGCTGAATTTGCCGAGTTTGCTACTCAGTGGCAGTTCACACACAACACCTAAAGTCCAGGTCATGCCCGATCCAACGGAATGGTTGAATCAGCTGTCAAGACTGCAAAGTTGCTTCTCAAGAAGGCCCTGGAGAGTGGTCACGATCCACAGTTGTCTTTTCTGGCTCACCGCAACAGCCCATGCCACAGCAGAGAGGCAAGCCCAGCACAACTACTGATGGGCAGGAGGACTCGGACCACACTACAGACAACAAATGCACTCTTGAAACCACGCACTCTAAACCGACAAACAGAGTGGAAGAACAAGACAAGACGGATGCAAAACTACTACAACAAGACTTCGAGAGAACTCCCAACTTTGAAAAAAGGGGACTTTGTCAGAGTTAAACCGTTTACCCCTGGATCACAATGGGAAAAAGCTACGGTCATGGAACCTGTGACAACCGGATCGTACAACGTAAACATCCACGGCAAAACACTGAGAAGGAACAGTGTACATCTACGACAAGTTCCTGTACCTGGCCAAACGGCAGCAAGCCCAGTGAAGAACCAAACAACTATGCAAGAGGTGACTATTGGCAAAGACGCTGCTGATACAGTGTCAGAACCAGCACCAGTCGCACCGCATGAATCAGCGAGCAATCAATCGCCGAGGACGGCGGACGCTTGGAAGGACAGCTCACAAGAACCATCGGTACGGCGCACACCCCGACCTGTTAGGAAGACGCTGTTACCGCGACACCTCAGTGACTTTGTAGTGTCATAGTTGAAACTGTCTTCTTTCCTTAAAAAAAAAGAGGATGTTACAATATGCTATAGTTTCGTTTTGTCTTTGGTTTCGAGGTGCTATCATTATCATGGGCAGACAATAAACATGGCGGTTCAATAAGCGTGCAGCCTCGTGGGTCTCCTATAAAAAAGACGCACAAAACAACTGCGATGTGCTCAATGACACAAAGCGAGAGAAAGGTCATGATGATTTTCCCTGCGAACATTGCATGATTTTAGTCTAATCGTATTGCGAGATTGGGGATCCTTCTAAATTTCGCCGTGATTTGTTGTTTCGTGTTCTGCAACAAGAATACTCACTGTCCACGTTTTTTGAAGTTAGCAGACAACACGAGCACGTGAACGTGCTTTGTGCGCACGCGCTTACTCTATCCCTTTTGTTGTTTTGTTTTGTATTAAAATATTTCGCGTTGTTGCTCATGTGCATACGGTAGCGACGTTCACGAACTGTTCTAATAGCCATCGTGACTCCCTCAGGTTGGTAAGATTTCTTTAGAAAAGTATCCCTACCTATTTTTGTATCGCTAAAATATTTTTTACTTAGGCGTCAATGATCAGACAGTCCGCGCCTTTTCGTGCACTAAACGCCAATACATCGAGAAAAAAATATATTAAGCGATCGCAATAGTATTTGGCCTAGGAGGACGCACAACACTTTGGGTAGAACTAAAGGAACGACAAAATAATAGAATCCATTGTTGTTGTTTTTTATCTAAAAGAAAACAAAGTCAGGCTTATCTTATGTTTCTCAACAGACAAACTCTAAAAACTTGCTGCTCTAAATAGCTCATGTGCATGAATAGGTATATCAGTTTCACTGATCCCTACATAAAAATTAGTATTGAAGACACGTGTTTTGCAATGATGGGTGAATCAAATGTGTTTCTGACTGCCAACAAAACCGTGGGAAGCCTTTCAACCCCAAAGAGTATCAAAACAAAGTACCTTCGATGCTTCAGCTATTGAGAGGCATCCACCGAAGAGGATGACGATGCCCCACGGCATCTTCATGGAAAACTCCTTGAAAGACACCAATGGCTCGCTGCAGTGCATGTTGCGAGGGTTCTTGGGCAGTACAAAAAGTAGAAAGCAGATGGCGAGTGCCGGGCTGGAAGACTTGATTTTTCTGGGAGCAGAAAAGGAAGCAAAGCAGATTTGACAAAGCAATATCAAACCTTGTTGTACCCAGGCCCTTCTCTCACTTATGTCCTAGAACCTTTTTTTTTCAGATTCAGTGTGGGCATACAAAACGTTTTACTAGCTCAAGGTTTACACAAACAGCAAAAGAGCACTCAGAAAACTATTCAAGTTGATTAAATACACAAACAAACAATATATATAACGGTGAATCCTTAAAGTGCGGAAGACTTATCTGAATCCTTGAGATATTTGCAACGTGATCATTAAAGTCATGCACTACACTGGTATAAAATGTGTTATGACGCCAGCGAACGCTGAGGCTGTGAATGCTTGTCAAAGGAAAATATTACCCACGTAATTATTTAAATTTCTCTACTAACGTGAGAAGAGACTTGTTCAAAACTCGTTTAATTCCCTAAAGTTGAAGATAAAAAAATAAAAAAATAACGTGGTGTATTTGTTTTGTTTTTCACTTTATTGAACGATAGGGCGTTGCACGTGTTGGGCTGTTTCGGTCTTTTTATTTTTTACAAGCGTAGTAAGAACGAGTTTGAGGGGGCTGGGCTATGTTTTCAAAGTTGAGTATTCGGTGACAAAATAACGCTGCAGAAATGCGATACCTCAATGTTAAATATCTTTCAGATGGATATGAACAGGTCCTCTTGTGAAAGTTATTTATTTCAATTCCCAGCGATGTGACCATGTACACTGTCGCGCCAAAGATTAAAATTGTTCGAAAAAAAAAATTGCCCGCAGAAGGGGTCCCCCTAAAAAAATGTATATTTATATATGATTCGAATCAATATTTCGGTAGCTGTACGAGTTTGATACTTGAGGATTAACTCTCGATTGTTTAGAGATGTTCAAGTATCACGCTTGAATGTGCTTGATGGTATATTTCCCCCCGATGCACTTCAAACTCCAGTAATTAACTTGAGTTTAATCATTTGAAGCAATAATGATAGGAGCGGTCGATATCATTCCCCAATAGGCATGTGGTTTCTGTGGCAAGAATTGTGGACCCGGCCCTCCGGCTACTGAAATTGCATTAAAGGGGCCAGGAAACGAGCTTTCTACTTTCGCTAAATACTAGTCAAAATCACCCACTAACATTATTGATCGAATAAACTTGCCTTAGTTTTTTATCTTTCTAAGCAATGGCAGTGGGTAAATAAATTCGAGAAATATGAGCATCGTTCATCCCCTTGACCCGGAGCCAGAACAAGCGGCCACGTGGTTGGGCCCTAGCCTATGCCGCTTACGTTAATCATAGCCACTATGGTCGGCAAAGTAGAAAACGGCTGCTGAGCTCCAGGAATTGTTAAAGGTCGGCTATTCTCATCACCGCAGTAGTTGGACACGAGTCACTACTCCAGTGTCTGCCGAGGCATTGCTGTTGCGAGCGGAAGTCGAGCGCTCAAACAGTTCTCGTGTTTCATCCATGAGCCGAGCGCGACTGTCGTCAGGCGGAGGGTTCAATCCCACAATTGCGTCATCAAGCTTTGGGAAGGCAAGACTGAGAAAAATCGACCCCTTTTATCCTCCTAATTTCACAGCGGCCAGGAAGCTTCTGAAGCAGTGGCGGTCCATGCGAGTATACTTGGGCCAAACTAGGACCAGTACGCCTGTGTAAAGTCATGAACATTCCAACCTGATATTGTTTCATGACCCCTTTCACATTAGGGCTCTTACTACATGCAATTCTTAGTGGCTAAACTGGTTACATATATGATAACTACTGGCTTGCTAGTTCATCGCGGGAACGCATGCGTGAAGGAGATTTCGAGAATAATAGCTGCAGCCGAATATCTTCCCACATTAAAAAATCGTTCACATTTTTTTTTTAATATCAATGTTTTAATTCACACGTATTCAAAATCTATTTGTACCATCTCAGACAATGGTAATATATCTGCGCATATTCTTAGAGTTTCAGAAGCAAAGAAATGACTTTGCAACAGACACAATTGTGCCATTATAAGCAGCTGGTTGCATATATGCGCATGACCGTCGGCGACCGCAGCTGTTGAGAGAAAACAAAAAAAAAAAAAAAAAAAAACGCAAAGTGCATTGAGAAAAAAGTTGAATTCACACTTGCGTGAATCACAACGCGCACAAGAACGTTTCTCGCCTGAAGACTTCTCTAAACATACCAAGCGCAATACCCGAGCAACTTATGCCTTTTTTTTAATAATTTAAAGGTAATTGTTGTACTTAAAAAATGAGTATACACGAAGTTTCAGAAAGTTTACATTTGGGATTTTTAGTAAGCCGAGCGAAGCCACACTCACGTGCCGTATTGAAACAGGTCACCCCAGCCGGTCATAAACTGCGGCTTGTAGAAGAAGAGCACCAAGATCAGAGTGCCGAGGAGCGCCAGGACGGTGTACTCTGCGAAGCTAAAGGCACCCAGCCGCTCATACTGCTGCTGAATGTCCCTCCGGATGTCTCGCTCTGCCTCGATGGAACTTTCACTTTTCCTGCGAAGAGGAACACGCTGTTCCAAGAACCTCTGACACACCGATGTATGTCAAAGTACACTTACATATCAGCTTGATCTCAGAAAACAAAGCAACAACAGGAATCCCTTCCATTGCAACACTAACAAGATGAATATAAAGGAGAGCACCACTAACATAAAGAGTAGCAACAGAAACAACCGCGGTGACAAAAGACAACGAAAACAAAATACACAGAAATATATAATCGATAACAAATTTATAATTTTACTTTTGCCGTCCTCGTCCTTTTTCCGTCTCCTATTTAGGATGTAGATACCTACACCAGCACAGCTTCGTCCTCTTAATAAATAAATACTCATGACAGCAACGTAAGCAGCAACAAAAACAATATGGGTGGTCCGATGCGTTCCGGGTAGCATGACAGGCTAAAACATAATCGATTACTTATTTTTATTGCCACTTTTTGGCGTATTATTAAGTAAATAATAAACCTAAATAAGTAAATAATAAATCTAAGACTAAAAATGCTGGTTCATTTTATAGAATGCCTTCTAAACAAGGTCATCTAATGATATAAAATATAACATGCCCTCAGTATTCACATTTTCAAGAAATTGAACAAGCATGCATAAAGTTAAACACAGTTCTGTGAGAGTTGATATGAGACAGTTTATGTTGGCAATGTCTTGATAGAATAAAGCAATTCCGTTTAAACATCTCTGAAATGCTTACCTGCAATACCTCATCACCAGCTGCAGGTATATCCAGCCAATGGCGGTACAAAGAATCATCGGCGGAACGTTGTACAACATCCAAGTGGCTGATGTTAGTTCTGTAGAATGAGGGAAAAGCCTGACGAAGAAAGAGAGAGCCGTGGAGCGTAAACTTACACACATTTTGCTGCGTGCGAAGTACAAAAAGAGTGCTGTAGTAAGTGTTTGAAAAGAAATGAAGAATAACCCCTGAACACTTAAAACGTAACTCTATCTAGTCAACTTCAAAAATTGCTTTCAACTATCTTGTTCCAACTTTAGCGATAATTCAAACATTAAAAACAATATGAAAGACAAAAAAATTGATTGTATGCATGTTTTAATAAGGTCTCAAACCGAAAGAAACTTACTCGTCTAGAATTCCCTTGAAGAGAATATTTGTTGAAGATCCGATTATAGACCCTGTTCCTCCAATGTTAGACGAGTAAGCCACTGACAGCAGCATAATCCTCTTCAGCAAGTCACGGTTCTTCTTTATCAAAGCACCACTAGGGCAGAAAAAAAGGACATTGTGAAGCTTTAATTACATAGAGCTGCACTAGAGGAAACAGTGAGACCAACGTGATCAAAATTCAGATATGTAATATATAAAAACTCCCTAAAAAGGTGCAGCAAGAAAATTAGTTACCAAGACGCCAGGCCCTCATTTAATTAAAGACAACAGAATTAACTACAAGCGTTTTCTATATAGTTTAATCTTGTTTTGTGTTTTTTCCAGGAATTAATAAAATGCACCCAATTCCTCGCTATACTAAATATAGAATATACTACACATATCCACGTGATCGATTTCCAGAGCTTACGTTTTTGAGGCCGCGGCCATCACATCCTCAAAGACGTATTAAACGACCGCAAGTTGGCGTAATGCCCTCACTAGACGACTTCCTTTTTTTTTTTTCAAAATTGGCATACGCCTGCTAGTTTTGAGGTAAAAAAGAAAGGTATCAGAAAGAAGAATTACAAACATTTCTCTAACAATTTTTAATTTCCTCGTAAAAATCTTTGAGCCTACCTGGCATCGCCAGCAATAGAAACTTCGAAATGGTCTCCTCCAGCATCTCCATTCTGCTTCACATCTAGGTGAAAATAGGCAAAATCGTTTATTAAAAAACTTAGAAACTATTTTCAATTTGGTAATAAACTTTCAAATAATATTGTCACGAATGACGAGGTGACGAAACAAAGAATAAATGAAGAAACTAAAACAGTTACTGGGATAAACTTGTGCCCAAGACAAAAAGGGCGTCGAAGTCGGCGTAACAGCAGGATCGAACGCTGGGGCGAGACTGACTCCGCTAGACATGCGGAGTCCCTTATGTATTCATGTGGATTTCTGGAACAATTGGCGCAGAACTTTCGGCGCGTTAAACATTCGGAACTCGATCAGAGGACAATGTTCTTGAACTTACGAGAACGCCAAGTTGAAATAATAAATAAAAGATCATTCCGCCTGACTGGGATCGAACCTAGACCTTCCGCGCGACAGTCAGGCGCAGTAACCATTCAGCTAATTCACGCGCTCGCTCGCCGACGCGCGTAAAATATCGTTTCGTTTATCTCATTTTTTTATATTTTTGTTTAGTGGATTAAGCGCCAAAGGAAATATGTCTAGTTTCAAACTAAGGCTATGTTATAGCTTGGGTTAACAGCATTTGCTAGACACGTTGCTGTCACTAACACATGTCCTTCAGTGCTGGAATAAAATACTCGATAAACGTTCTGTGTGCTTCTACGGTGATATCCATGTGGCCTAATCCCATAACACGAGACAACGCTGCTGTGCCATTTTAGGGTTAAAGGGCATTCCATCGCGTGTTCCTGCAATTATATTATTTTCATCAAACTCTAACATTCAGGCGCGTATACCTTCTTGCGAAACATCTGGAAGAACCGATCCCTGCAGTCTAGGGGAAGGCTTAGCAAATGGACGAGGCTGAATGCATGTGTAGCCCTCAAAAAACAGTATGCGCTGTGTCATTGAGCATGACTTTTCGTTGCAAAAAGTAGACGGACCACATAGGCTACATGTAGGATCACAACTACTTAAAAGAGTTTGCGGGGGCGGGATTTAAAATAATCCTCTGCAAAAGTAGGTCTCACTTTTATGACGGTAGGCTGCTTCGACTCTGCGACACGAGTGTTTTTGTCGTGAGTACCCAAATAAAGCGGCGGGATAGTTGCCGCATTTCCCGTACTCGGTGAATCGGGGTTTCGGCACAGCGGTGTATGCTTTTGAACACCGGGTCAGGAGATTAGCTCTTGGCTCTACTACTGGCCGGGGATTTACACAAATAATCTTGAGAAAGCGTTCCAGTCGCGCGTTGCTGAGGACTTTACCTAAGCCCGACATGTTTTATAAAGGGCAGGGATGAGGAAAAAAGTAAGCTTCCCGGTAGAACTCCGAAGGCGGTCGAAAGAAAGGTATATTTCTTCCACAATGTTGCTTGTTGTAGATATCTAAATTATCCGTATTGCGGTGTTCCTCGTGTCCTGTTTGTCGGCGGAGAGGGTCAGAAAATAAAGTCTGCTACCGACTTTTTTCTTTTTTCTTCTTTTTTTTTTTTTTTACAACGCACAGCGTCGTTCTTAGTGTATGTTACTCTGACGTAAAGGTTTGATGACTTTGAGACGAACTTTTCTTGTCACGTAAGCAGGGATGTCGCGAACCTCCCCATGTTCGAGTTTAATCAAGTTCGACTTTTTCAAACTTTCAGCGTAATGGTGGACAAAAGTTAGATTGAAGTTCATCTCTTTGCACATGTGCGAAAATTTGGAAACAAGCTGGACATGACCTGGCGGAGGAAAAGTGAATTATTTGTTGAGTGTATTGCATTACTGGCTCACGCTACTAACGAAAGCATTAAACGTACCTATTTAATGTTGTGTAAACATTGGTAATGCGTTTATAAAATATAAAATAAACTTTTTAAATTATTTGTTCCCCAAAATTCGAAATCTTTGTTTAGAAGCCGAGCAACACTCTTCATAAGTCGAACCTCGTCGGAAGTTTTCAAAAGTTCCAAGGTTCGCCGTACAAGTCGAACCCGGAGCTTCGACGTTGAACCTCGGTTTAGAAAAATTTTCGTGCACCCCTACATGTAACCAGCGGCGCTGCCAAATCTTCCCTTCTCCCTACTCTTGTTACATGTAGATCATCAAGCCATGTTACTAGGCGTCTGTCGTATGTTTCACTGCGAACAACCTTCAAGGTCGTCATCATTCGTGCCACCAAACGCACTGACAGAAACGCTGTCATTAAGGGATAATTTCCAGCCGCCAGCGGACGTACTTACAGTCATGGGTTGGCACCTGATGGTAAGAAGGCATCACCATCTTGGCAGACAGTGCGATCACCATAGGCCCCATTATGGTGGCCACGGCGGTGTTGGGCATCCACATGGACATGAACACGGTGATGGACATCAGACCGAGCAGCACCCTGCATCAGCAGCCAAGATGTAAGTTCTTAGTGACCTTCGTCCCAGAAGTGTGATTTATATATTATAGCTCTGCACGGAATGAAATATATGCCGATCTTGAAAGTTTAGATATACATACAACAAAGCGTACACCGTTGAAAAAATAAATTTGAATATTCCAGACCACCTTTTTACGCAGCCCTGCGAACTGTTCTTTTTTGTGATATCATTTTACTTCGATATTTCTTTAAAGTTGCAATGTGCAACCGAATTCCCGTGTCCAAATTAGGCAAAGAGGTTACTGAACTATTCTAAATTATTGGATCAATATCAGAAACAAAATTAAAGGAAAACAGACCTAAAACAATATTACGGCGGTTTAGAAAATATCTAACTCCAGAGATTTTTCAAGTGGCTTAATTTAATGCTAATTGTCTCATACAATTTGGCGATCGCGCATGCTGCATCCCACCTATACACTGCACACTTTGCACTTGATTTGCAATTTAACTGCCTATGATGATGGTGCTGTCTCACAGTAATTTGTAAGAGTTATTGAGCTTAATAAATATACAGGTTTTACTATAGGAACCGTAATTTACGAGTTCCCGAAAGGCTCCGTAGTGCAAGGAAGCTGCAATACACCGTTTATTTAATCAAAGGTAAAACAAAAACTCCTGCCGAAACCTGCAAAGACTCAGGCATGACCATAGAACCCTTGAAAAGAAGAATTTATAACTGGGGAGAACTGAGTAGCTTATGTTAAGCTTATTTCCCATTTTCTTCACCTTTTCTGCTCGCGTGATTGTAGCCTGTCTCAGTTTTATGAACGATGTAACGAAAGGTTGTGCGGGTACAATCTTTTGGTCCGGTGGAATACAGCGAGGCAAGGTTTGTAAGGTTAGAATCAGTTTATGCGAGCTGAACAGCGGAACATTAAGCCAGATTATTTCCTAATCGGATATGTCTAACAATCAGACTTACTTTACCAGTTGACATCAGGCAGAGATACACGGGCGACATGGGTCGATAAAGAAAATTTACCAAAACAGCGACTGACCTCCCCTCGCTGGTGCCGACGGTCAGGAGGCACTTGAAGGCAAGCCGCTCGTGAAGATCACTCGACTCAATGGCCGTCGCGATCATCAGCGATGCCATGAACAGCAGACCGGTGTTCTGGTGTTAACAAAAACAATCGTTACGAAAGCGGCGTCGGAATGAACACATCTAGAGCCATGATCCTGACAAGCTCGCTGGAAATGTCTTCTAAAAATATCTCCACTCCAAAAATCTCTTTGATCTCAATTCCCCGTGAAGCGCATACCAAGTATATCAGTTTCATTCGCAATAGAGATCGAAGAATGAGAATGTTGAAAACAAAAAGTTTTAACCAGGAAATTTAGCACTGTGATGGCACGTTCGTGTCATTCTCATTGTCGCATTGCCGAGTAACTTCGACACGTACAGTGCCCTCTCATAAGCTTCTTCTCTTATTTCTTGCTAGTGGTTTTCCGTGTCCTCCGAAACGAGAATGCACATGCTTTGTCCATAAAAAGCTGGTACGCCCTCAGCGTGTTTTCTTCTTTTTGGGTGTTTGAGACCTTATACTGAAAGCGCCGAACATAGACCATATATTATTCAGCTTAGGAAGTGAAGAGGGTTAGCCGTTTTGTACTTCCAATGTTCAATGTTACCTTTGATTGTGAAAACTTGAGCAGTTTCCTTTCTTCTTAGAACTACTGTAGAGTTGGGTAAAGAAAAGGTGCTCTTTTAAATTTAAAACGCACCATCATCGGGAATCGATAATGCACGCTTTCTGCGTTGACTAAAATGGTTAAATTACTTTGAGAGCGCCAATGAAATACACGCTTGTCGTTGACGAATGAACCGTAGATTGGTCAGAGCTTGAGCAAAGCAGAGCACGACCTTCAGCGAGGACACTCTAAAATATGCTGGTGAAGGGAATTTACCACAAAACACGTAAAACTTTGTGCTTGTGAATGACGGCGTATGAGAAACAATTTTCGCCGCGGTACGGGGTATTACGGAATATGTCGGACCACAAAATGGCGTCAGTATCAATGCCATAAAATATAAGACTGTTTTTTTTTTTTCATACAGACTGCGTTGAGAAACTGGGTGACCGGAGGAAACGAGAGCGCGTTGGGGTGCCAGAAGGCCAAGCTCTGATTGGACCAATTAGTGGGTAGACTTAAAGCTAGCTGCCATTGTCTCCACTGCACTCGTCGAACGCGGTACAATGCGAGAGCCACAGGGCTGACGCCGGCGTTCCGCGTTCTAACGCGTTTGACGAGCGCTGAGGAAACAAAATTAGTTAGCTTTACGTCTCCCCACTAATCCTTCCAATCAGAACTCGGCGTTCCGACGTCCTCTCTGGTCTCCTCCTCACCCCCAGTTTCTCGGCACATACCAACTGGCCACAGTATCTGCCTCGATACATTTGATGAAGATTTGAGTACGATTTCATTTTCTTTGCGCTCTACTTCCGACCTGGTTAGGTCCAAACGATTTTTTGGCCTGGGTCATTGGTCAAGCTCGAAGATCGCGGTGATTATTTAAGCAAGAACTCAACTAGAAAGTACGCGCGTAAGCGTGTTTACGTGTTCAGAACAGGTCACGGGCCACTCCGAGGAGTTCGTCGCCTCAGTAAAAAATACAGTTTTCATTTTGGTACGGTGAACAGCGGCTGTACTAAGCTGTCCGAAGTTTCATTGGGGCAATGCTTAATGCATATAGCGAGTGCATGGCTAAGTGTAAAGAAACTAATGTTTAGGAACTATGAACGGTCAAGGCAACACTTACATTGAGATAAAATGAAGCCACTTCTTCTGTGGAGAGCAGTCCGAGGAATGGTAGTACTACTATGGGTAGTAAGGAGGTCACTGAGAGGGGTACTGGCTCCACGACGTAGAAGATGCCCATCCAGAGGGTAACGAAAGCAACCCAGGAGGCCTGAAAAACGCGAAAAAAAAAAAACAATAGTACGTTGTTTGCCTTGCCTTCGAACCTCTCACTCAGTTTTGTGTTTCTTCCATTGCAGACTCTTCATCTAACCTGTAGCGCTCGTGCAGCGGAACTAAACAGAACTGCTTGATTGGCCTTGTTGGATTATGCGCTAGCATGCCATGCTGGGCACGTTATGGTGCGAGGCCGTTTTAAATGAGGTAGCCGGAACTATAAAGAATGGTTTATCACAAAAGATTACCTAGCTTTAGCTTTGGTCCCTAGAAACAACACGCCGCTGCTAATTTTCTCAGGGGTAGGAGGCGCGTGTACAGCTTAGTTTAAAACCAATGGTGTTTAAAAAAAAGCAAGGTTTTATTCAGAAAAAGTAGATTTAAAAGGTAGCGACTCACATCGGTTCCGATGCTGAGGGGAATTGGCAGAAGGATCAACGGCGTGGTGGTTGCGAGAATGGGTTTCAGCGCCTTCTTCCATCGGGGAACGGGGATCTTGTCTTCCATCCTGGATGAGAACGAGAGACATGGCAACACAAAGTGAGCTTCCCGTTCGAGCGGAGAACGAGGAAAATGGATTAATACCTTTCCCCCATCGGAACATTAGTTGCCGCATTGAACGAATCAAAATGCCGCTCTTCGGCACGGAAGCCGACGGCGAACTCACAAAGTGGTTGATTGCAGTGTTGTCATTCAAAAACCAAACAAGGGTTCATAGTTTATACTACATCAAATCCAGACGTTTTATCCGCATAAAAACGCCCTTGACTTGGGTAAAAAAAAATGTTCGCTTCTTCAGAAGCCGGATATCCGTCTGTGCAATGCACCGGTGAGACCATCTTACCACACAGTAATATACAAGATGCATGTGATTTTAATTCGAACAGACTTTTCTTAAAAATAGGGGGTGAGAGTTACACGAGTTCTTTTTTCACGATGTATTTATCAGGTTCGGCACACATTAGATGAGGGGAAATTCTCCACGGAATGAACGAAATTATCTCAATTAACTTTTGAATTATTGGTTAGGACAGATGTTAGAATTGAGATATTGACTGCAGTTACTATTAGAGGCCATGCCAACATAAATAATTTGTGAAAATATGATGTTTTCTTTAGATATTAATCAATAAATTTTCGTGTTTTTTTTTTTTTTGCCTAATTCAAATTTGCATCGAAAAAGAGCGTTGCAAGCCCTGTCGAAGCGAGGCTTGGAAGAGTGACGTCGTCGTTCGAAGCATGTCGTCACTATCTCGGCAGCATGTCCTTGGTGGGTGCGCCAACGACAGAAGTGACGACATAATTGAATCGACTACGCTACTGTTTCAAGCGTCATTGTGGGCAGGGCTTGATGCGCTCTCTTTACGCGCAATTCTAAAATCGGGCGATAAACCGCGAACATTTATCGATTAATATCTAAAGAAATCATTACACCTACGTCATTTTTTATTGTTCTAGATTTTAATGGTAATTGGCGTCAATGCAGCAATACCAACATCACCCCTAATACTAATATTTAAAAAGTTAATGAACAAATTGTTTAGTTAATTAGTGACATAGAATAATACATGGTGAAGACGGCACTCCCCTAAATCTTAGCCTTGTTTAATTCGTTCGAATTAAAGATCACACATCCGGGAAAAATTGGCGCCTGCACATGGAAAGATTGATTGTTCACCGAATGTGAACTGAGCCGGTCAGTTTTACAGTGTCAAATTACAAGGCGCAGTTCTATTCCTGTAAAACGTGAGAGCGACATATTGTGCAAAGTTAACGCCGGCTGCGTTCACAGACGATCGATTTAGCGACGCCATTGACTTTTGGCGCCATCTCCTGACAAGCGTAGCGAGCGGACGACGTAGTCCGTTGTCTGCTCGCTGCGACTATAGGGAGATGGCGCCACAAGTGAATATCGTCACCAGCTTGGTCGTCTGCGAACGCGCTCGACGCTGACTGACAAGTTTGTCACTCTCATATTTTTTTTACAGGAAGGAAACTACGCCTTGAAATTTCACACGATAAAACTGATTTGTTCAGTGCACATTCGGTGATAGCTTGAGTCATCAATGTGCAGGCGCCGCGGGTTTTTCGGGTTGGTCTTCAGCGTCGAATTCGCCTGTGCCAGCCTATTAATAAAACAATGAAAAAAAAAACACCATGCGTTTCATTTGCCAGATAGACTACTCAAATTAAAGCTGGATAAGGTGCTGATCTCCTGGTGGCTGAAATATGTTCTGCAAGATGGGGTGATATAAACGTATCTTGCTAAGGAGGGATTCGACTCAGTTCCGTTTCCAACGGAAGAATGCCAGATGAGATATATACAATAAATAACTTCAGGAAAAAAAAAAAAAAAGAGGAAGGCTTAGAGAAAAGGGAAGACGACAGCATTTTGTAGCGGTTGCATCCTGCGTATCAAGTCTGCCTACGGTGAGCGGTGCTATCACCAACGTGCCAACAGTCTATACCCTACTTGGAACACTCCCATTTATGCTTCCTTACGGGAGCCTCTACAACTCTGTCTTCATATTTCTACAATATTGCAGTTCTACTGAAGAGTTGCTTGAAACTCCAGATTTGTTGCTCGCTGCGGCAGCTCCCTAAACCATTGTTGCAGACCCCCCCCCCCCCCCTCCCCTTCCCCCTCAGCGCTCAAGAAGGGTGGCATTTCAATCAACTGGTGAACGTTTCGGGACATATGGGGAGCTAGGAGTAGCCTACGAAGAAAGCTACTGCATAGCAGGCAGCCGTAAGCGACTTACTACAGACTTTTGCATGAATAAATGTTTTATTATTTAGTACGTAATGCCAAGAGCTGTACCTGATTAAATACAATCTTAGTGTAGAACTAGCTGAGCGTATGTAGTTATGGCAGTCCTAGTAGTCTAATCATATAAACGAGATGCCGATAAACAGATCAGTGAGCGAAGATAAACAGAAGACACAACCACGAAAGGGCACTGCTATACTCGCAACTGAATTTTAATAGGCAAAAATGGCACGTAGAAAACAGGCCAAATCATTTGATTAGTCAGATCTATTTCACTTTACTGCGAGTGCTGCAGAATTGTCCTGTCGTGGTTGCTTCTTTTGTGCGTCTGGTTTTACTAAGCCGTATATTCCCATTATGTACATTGTATTCTAACGCTACCAAATTGGCTAGTTTCTATGAAATGAGAATGCATTGCCTGGTGTAAAAGAAAACGTCAATTATAAGAGTACAAGGCATTTTAAAAACACATGGCATGTTCACTGCATTTTTTTTTACGCAGCATGTTTTGATAGAATGAGAAATTCAGGGTAAAATGGCATGGCAATACAGAGCGTATGACTTAGGCGAACGCATTCAATTAGATTACCCAACGGACATGCTCCAGCTTGCATTCATAAAAAAGATAAAAAATGCGTCGCCAAACAAATTTCGGAAACACAATCTCTACAAGGAGAAGCATTACACATTCTGAGACGATGTCGAAATGACATCGTTTTTTTTACGTATTATCTGTTTGTACACCTACGTTTACGCGGATTTTGAAAGAGAACCGCAGTCAAAACGTGGTTGATATTACTATTCTTTTTAACTCCGTTTCTCCGAAGTGAGCCGACTGAGAAAGGGCTGCAGGCACCAGTTGCGAGTTGCTGGCGCCCAGCCAGGCCGCTCACAAGACCAGCGGTCGAGAATGCGGAAAACCGATACAAGTTTCATAACTGCGAATTACAAATTAAACAGCTAATTTCCGCGTAATTTCACGTCAGGAAGGCGTCATACTATATTGTTCGCCACAAAAGCATGTCTAAAAAAAAACAACGCAATACTTATGAAAAAAATAGCGCCACGAAACAAGATAATTAATAAAGGAACGTGTTGGGTGCCGTGAAGAGACTCACTGAAAAGTTAGAAGCGACAGGAGTTTTTATGTCAACGTGATAAGAAGGGCAGGTGAATGCACGCTTATCAATAACTGTATGTCTAGCACTGTCCTCAAACAATTCCACGATCGCATATAGACGCTTTCATCGCTTATCACCCCGGGCGAAAAATGCTGAGTCACAGAGCTGTGGACGCACGCACAACATCTGATATTCCACACAGCAGAGCAACAGTGCATGCTCAGAAGGCGTTCCACAGCCCAGCAGATAAGGATGGCAGCGCGCAGCAGGCGATTTTTGGAAAGGTCTATAGGTTGGTCAGACATCAGTGATAACATTAAGGTATGCAATGTTTTCCTGTGTCTAGATAGAGGCATCCATTGGACAATCCAGGACTGCAAGCGCGCGCCCAAGTAAATATAGAAATAAACTTTGGGATCTCAACTAACAGCCATGAACTGGCAGCGCCTACGCGCTTGCTCCGAAAGCCAACAGTGCGGGCGCACTTGAAAACTAAAAAAGTGATAAGGCTTTTAAGTAACCAAAATATCACCACCATATATATACCAAGGAATTTTATTGAACGCGCTATATATGCTGTAACCTGAATGCACTCTCTAGTTTGTGAATTGACCGTGCACACAAACATGAAAAAAAAAATCATTTGTGAAAGCAGGCAAAGTATTAGCGTCAATTTTGAGTCACAGAGCAAAGTATTGATGTCACTTTTGAGTCACAAACCAGCGAAGCGCATGGCCACGAACACTATGGTCCTGGCTTCGTAGGTAAGCCTTGCTTCCACTCATTCTTCTTAGGGGTGTGCGTGTGCACATCTCGCTGGCCTGCCAACTTTTAGAGTGTTCCTTGTTACAATGGTTGAGACAGCCGACTGTCTATCAAGCATGTAACCAGTAGCAACATATGGCGTGTTTTTTAGGTGATGAGTGTACGAGCTGCTAAAATACGCGAACATGTTCCGGAGTAACAAACACAGGCAGTAAAGTCCATGGCCCCGGAGAATATTTCTGTGTGGAAGCGTCATGGGAGGGCACGGCTTACGTCTTTGGGCTGTAGACTTTGTTCCCAACTACTTACAAAGTTTCATGGTGTCAACTGAATGCTTTGGAAGGTCGCTTCAGCTCCCGCGCAGCAGCCCAAAACAAATGCTCCGCATAGTTCATTTTTTGACTGCCCGCTCGAAACACAAACCTGCCATCCCGTTACGTCACGGCAATGAACAGCGCGGTAATACTAAATGTTGCGATAAAATAGTAAGGGTGCACGCGAGCTGGTGAATGTTAACCATGTTGAATAAACCTGAGATTGGGGCTAAAATGAACATATAAGTCAAAGGAACAGAAGGTGACAGGACGACGTCGTCCTGTCCCTTTCTGTTCCTTCGACTTTTATGTTCATTTCTGCCCCAGTCCCAGGTTTATTCAACATGACTAAATGTTGGTTTTTGCATCATATTCATTTGCCGATTTCACAATAACTATTCTGAATTTCGCGATACTATATAGCATACCGGAAAGAGTAAAGGACGGTGATTTCGAAAACATAGTTAGTTGGGGTTGCTCAAAAAATC